AACAAGAAGATGATGTTGTAGTGTCACGGATAGACACATTTATACTTCTTAATGCTTCGCCTTTCTCCATGCTTCATTAGGTCTTTAAATCATCTCTTATCCTTTCTTCCTGTCTTCAGCCAGTACCTGCTTACAATTTCTTCAGCTTTTTGTAATATGCCAACGAGACTGCTGTGTCTCTCGCACAGCTTGATCAAAGGAAAAAGGCCCTGGAGTTGAGCCAACCACAGTAGCCTAGCGGCAAAATCCTCACCTAGGGCATACCGGGATCCCATAAGGGTGCTGGTTCTAATCCCAGCAGCCCCGCTTCCCATCCAGCTCCCTGCCTGTGGCCTGGGAAAGCAGTGGAGGATGGCCCAAAGCCTTGGGACCCTGCACCTGCGTGGGAGGCCTGGAGGAAGTTCCGGGCTCCTGGCTTCAGACTGGTGCAGTTCCTGCCATTGCAGCCATTTGAGGAGTCTCTCCTTCTCCCTGTATATCTGAATTTCCAATAAAAATAAATTAATTATAAACAGGGATCTGGAATCAAGCACTTCTAGGTGATGCTGGTTTATTTACAAATGACCTTAGAAAAATGCCTACAATTTTTCTTCACCTTTGAGTGTCTCTCTCTCTCACTCTCTCTCTCTCTCTCTCTCTTTTTCTTTTTAGTGGTAAAAGTACTTGCCAGTTGAAATTTGAGTTCTACTTCTATAGGATTTAGTAGGAAATACTATTGTAGAGAAAAAAAGTCTAGGATTCACTTCTACTTATTTGTTTTTAGACAAAGGTATCTGTTAGAGGCGGGCTTGGTCAGCTCAGAATAGCAAAAAAGATCTTAGAAGTAGGTTAAGAGTGTACAGAAAATAGAGAAACCTAACTAACGTATTTTAGTATTGTATATCCTGTTAGCACACACCATTAATTAGTTTATTTCTCTCATCCTTCCTTCCTGATTTTGAGTTTAAAAAGGAACCCTTTTTCTACTTGGAAAGAACATTTTACTCATGCAGATTTTACTTATTATTCTTGGTCAACAAACCCATAACGTGTCAGAGACAAACCGAAGGAAATAACAAATATTCTTAAAGGAAATATTTGATTAAAAATAAGTGTTTTGACAAATATAAGAGACAAGAAGCTATTTTTAAACACAAATCAGAAAATGAAGTTGCATCTGTCTGCCTCAATTTACAGGCAGTTGACTGCTTTTATATTCAACACACACATACTTTTTCCTATAGTAAGGTGAGGGTGGTATTGCTGCATAGCCGGTCAAGCTGCTTGTGATGTTGGCATCCAATATAGTGCCAGTTTAATTCCCAGCAACTTCACTTCTGATCGAGCTCCAACGCACCTGTTAAAGCAGCGTGAGATGGACCAGGTCCTTGCGCACCTGTGCCCACATGGGAGACCCAGATGAAGTCCCAGGCTCTGAGCTTTGGCCTGGCCAAGCCTGGATGTTACAGCCATTTGGGAAGAGAATCAGTAGACAGAAGATCTCTCTCTCTCTCTCTCTTTCCATTTTATCCCTGTCTCTCTAACTCTGACTTTAAAATAAATAAATCTTAAAAAAAAATTACATTGTGTGACATTCTCTAGAACAAAGACAATACAAAAGAGAAAGTCAAGATTGCTGATATAAATATCTGAAAATGTGCAATGAAAACGCTACTGATAATGGGGAAAATTTGATTTTTTAAAAATAAAGTATATAATTTTCAGTAAGCTATAAAGACTGAAAGGATGATACACTTTTATTTTCATATCTTACAGTTCTTAGTAATTTCTAATAAAATAAGAGTAGTGTAAGAGCTGTTAGTAAACCAGTAGAATGTGCCACTGTAATAAATGAAAATAGAAGTTTTATGTCAGAGTTGATTATCAGTATGATTTATTACCAGTTGCTCTACTGATAACTGACAATGTATAACTAGAGAAGTAAAATTCACACACAACTTCACACACACTTTCGTCTCTACTTGTAAGTTTCATTTATTGTTGCTATAGCTGATATACTCCAGGAATACCGTCAAGCCCAATGGGACCTATTCGTTCACATTACTTCTATGCCACTAAATTCTAGTATTATGCACAATCTATTGAGCATACAAAGTAGAAGAAAAGCTCAATGATAAAAAGCAGAGTCCAGCAGATAAGTCACTTTAAATGCCTCATATTGCTTTCCATATATTATCTCTATAGTTACCCCTCTGCTTTTGTCGAGCTGCAATATTTTTTTTCTTCTTCTCTTATGATTAGGCTCAGTAACACTCCCCACCCGCCCCCGGTGTTCAGAATGTTCTTGCTCTCATACATCTTCTTTAACTCTCATGTACTCATTTCACCCTAAGACCATTTTTGTCCTTTCTAGCTTCTAATAATTCTGTTTCAACTGGAAAGAAGTCTTTTTAATATAGCCACAGTTACCTTAGAAACATGTGTTGAGGCTGGCATTCTGGCATAGCTGGTAAGGACCTGGTCCTCACGGTCGGCATCCTGTGTGGGTACCTATTCATGTTCCCACCTGTTCCACTTCTGATGCCGCTCCCTCCTAATGGCCTGGCCACAGCACGCAGCCCAGGTGGTGTGGCTCTGCCATCTGCACATGAAGCCTGGACCCTGACTGTTCTGTTCTTGCTTTTACTCCCTCACTCAGCACTCACTTACCTCCCACTTGGTCAGACTACACGCTCTGAGAAGAGGACACTGGTCAAGCGGAAGAGAGTTCTGAAACCTCTGTTGGTTCACTGCCATTGATGTCTGCTTGCAGACCTCTCAGGGAGGTCGGTCCTTCTTCCCCACGCTGCTGGAACCCTCTGCTGTTTTTACTTAGGTTCTTGGGATTTACTTTCCTAGATCTTTTCCCTGACGATTTGATGGATTCAACTTTTCAATATGCTTTTGATATTGTTAATTCCAAAACCAGGTCCCTGTATTGATTTTGGTCCCTGTAGTGATCCAAAATTATGATACTTTGCATTACTTCGGTATCACTACAAACTTTACTGGTTTTCAGTAATTCACAGGTAGCATTCACCCTCATTCTCCTTTCATCTCCATTCTGATCTCGGCCTTCCTATGAGCAGTGACAGAACCACCACTTCTCTATCAACTTGCACTTTGATTGATTTTCCTCTCTTAACTTCTGCATCTCATTGATTTCCAAGTTCCATTCAGCCAACTTCCACATCAGCTGTCTTATCTGGTCCTCTAACATTATTTTGACTGTCACTAGTTAGCTACTGCTCCTCTAACATGTTCTCAGAACCACTGTGATGGACTACTATGAGCCTTCCCAAGCCCTGCTTGGCATTCTCTTATTTTGCCAAATCACTGGAACACAGATGCCAGACTAGTTAGCCAGCATATCCAGCTCTCCAGTTTATACACTGTAATATCTTGAACTTTTTGTGTTTAACACCTACAACATTTTTAGTTATACCATGCTTCATAGGCATTAACTGCATGTCAAATTTGCTAGCCCTGTGTTAGCAGATTTGAAGGGAATTCATGGCACCTTTACTTAACATGTGCTTAATTAACAAATGCTATACCTGGATACAAAAGTACAGACTTTCCTTATTCTAAAGTTGATGGTGTATTTCTACTATCTCCATCATGTCATCATATCTATTATCTTCTCAATGAATATAAAGGTCTTCAGTAACCTCTGGTCTTAGGCGTGGCCTAGTGGCTAAGGTCCTTGCCTTGAACATGCCGGGATCTCATATGGGCACCGGTTCTAGTCCCGGCTGCTCCACTCCCCATCCAGCTCCCTGCTTGTGGCCTGAGAAAGCAGTTGAGGATGGCCCAAAGCCTTGGGACTCTGCACCCGTGTGGGAGACCCGGAAGAAGTTCCTGGATCCTGGCTTCGGATCGGCATAGCATCGGCAGTTGCACTCACTTGCAGGGGTGAATCATTGGATTCTCAAATCTATGGATATTTCCATAAAACACTGAATAATATATGCACATGACAATACTATCACATCATTTGTTTCAAAAACAAATCTAAGGACACTGCTCAGCACATAACCACTACTTTAGATTAATATTGAGTGTGAGGGGCATGCAGAGAACAAAGTGGATTTCATCCAAAGGAAAATAAAATAATTTGTTGCTAAACAAACTGCTAAAAAAGGGGCAGTTTTTATAAGTAAGTTTTTTTTTCCTTGTTGTTTGGCTTACAATGATGGCATACACTAAGAAGTTGGTCCTACAATATTATTTCAACCCAAAACACCCGCAGCTGTCTGTTTAGTTGCAATTTAGAATCAACAGAATAAGCAATGATACAATAAGTTAGGTGGTTGGGGGGGGTGCTTTCTTAATTAACCCACGTTGAGGTCAAGATTTTTCCCTGCTTCTCATTTCCCACTAAGCACTCCACTAAGCATCTTACGTGACCTTGTTTTACTGACATGATCTATACTTGGTAAGTACACGGAGAAAAGCATTCAGCAGCTGCATATAAAATATAAAATATATACATAGCATCTTGTCATAAGAACGAAGTTTTCAATGGAGGTCAGCAGTGGTTCAAATAGGCTAAAATGTTCAGAATCTTGAAAACCTTTATTTTCACTCACAAAGACTCCCAACCAAGCAAAAACAATAACATGGTCTTTTTAAACACAAATGCTGAGAAGGTGGGAAATCCATTGGCTATCCTCTTTTGTGGTCTGTTTGCTCTCTGTACTTCCACTGTCCTGAGCTGGAAAGGGACCACAGATCTACACTCGCAATATGTCAGACCATGTCCGAGCACTCTCAATTCTCCTAGACAGTCTAACATTCTCAAGCAAAGAAAAAGTAGTACCTTTCAGTCTACTCATGCGAAAAAAATCCTAGCCACTTCAACAAGATACTTTAAGACAGTCAAGGTCAATACTATCCTGACTTGAATGTCTGAGGCCATCAATCAGTTACACCTTTGAGAAACCCAGGGCCTGTTAGGGATCAGCCCAGCTTGGCTGTCTGAGGAGGTGCAGAAGGAAGAAGGAATTTCGGGCACTTACATTTCCGTGATGGTCTCTGGCAGGTTGGTGGGGATCTCAGTGAGCCCTTTGCCACGACAGTCAACTATATTGTTGCTACAGGTGCAGGCAGCAGGGCAGTGCAACACGCTACAAGAAGGAGCCATAAATGACTGGTGACCTGAAACAGAAATACATAAGCAACTGTGAAACATACAGACTAAGTTCCAATAAAAACCATTAATAGAGAGACATTTTTCCTAGACTTATGATCATAAGCTGGTGTAACATGTTGAGGTCCACTCATGTAGAGCTTCATGTTCATATTCAGATATAGCAAATTATATTTTATTTATTTATTTATTGCAAAGTATACTTTAAAAAATAACTATAAAAGGAATAATTTGTAACTCCCCCCAACAAATCTAAGGATAAGTTCAAATTCAAAATCAGAATTCTGCCAAACTATTCTAAGTGCCTGAAAAAGGAGCACATTCAAACTCATAAATATTTATAACTACTAAAGTTAAACATGGAATGGACATTGTCACACTTATTTGGTTTAGTTTACTTTGTCTAAAAAGAAAAAGAAAACAGAAAAGCTTTCATATTTATAGACTTAACTGTTGCCCTAACTAAGTAAACATGTGCCAACTTAGGTGGGAAAAATTTAAATAAGGTTGATATTGAATAGGTTCAAAGCTATTACATTCTTTGAAGCTGTAGGAGGCTGCATCACTTCATTCTACACTATTATTTTTTGCACCGTACATGATTTAAAATTTTAGCATTAGTAATTACCTGTGCATATGTATTTTTACTATTCAGAATTTGGAAACAATGATTTCATTGTGAGATTTTACTGTTGTAAGGAGAAACACCAGGGTGCCTATGGGTGATACAATCTGGCACGCGCTAATGGAGGTGTGGGGAGCAGGGTGGGGAAGTGTGGGGAGCAGGGTGGGGAGGTGTGGGGAGCAGGGTGGGGAGGTGTGGGGAGCAGGGTGGGGAGGTGTTGGGAGCAGGGTGGGGACCTGTGGGGAGCAGGGTGGGGAGGTGTGGGGAGCAGGGTGGGGACCTGTGGGGAGCAGGGTGGGGAGGAGGGTGGGGAGCAGGGTGGGAGGTGGGTGGGGAGCAGGGTGGGGAGGTGTGGGGAGCAGGGTGGGGAGGTGTGGGGAGCAGGGTGGGGACCTGTGGGGAGCAGGGTGGGGACCTGTGGGGAGCAGGGTGGGGAGGTGTCGGGAGCAGGGTGGGGAGGTGTGGGGAGCAGGGTGGGGAGGTGTGGGGAGCAGGGTGGGGACCTGTGGGGAGCAGGGTGGGGAGGTGTGGGGAGCAGGGTGGGGACCTGTGGGGAGCAGGGTGGGGGCTGTGGGAGCAGGGTGGGGAGGTGGGGAGCAGGGTGGGGAGGTGTGGGGAGCAGGGTGGGGAGGTGTGGGGAGCAGGGTGGGGACCTGTGGGTAGCAGGGTGGGGAGGTGTGGGGAGCAGGGTGGGGGAGGTGTGGGGAGCAGGGTGAGGACTTGTGGGGAGCAGAGTGAGGACTTGTGGGGAGCTGTCCTAATGGTGGCAACATGTCAAGAAGGGGTTTCAAGGCATCCTGCAGCCCTCAGCTTCCACAAGCTCTCAAACTTTAAAACAATATTCTAAGTCTAAGAAATAAATGCACACTTGCCTTCTTCCTCATCTAGAAAGCAGGAAGGAAAAAGTAGAGAGAAAAAAGAAGTTAGTAGCGAACTGTTAGTCATTTCATTACATAATTTTTATTTAAAAAAAGCAATCAGACTATTGAGAGTGTTCAATGACATTGTAAGAGAATTTTTCTCAGGGTATAGAAAGTGCAGAAAAATATACAAAAGGATTAAGAGGTAATAAAACAGAAAAAATTACTAGCCTCATCCCTCCAGTTCTTCATGAAAAGGTATATTGCATTTTGTACTTTTAAATATGACACATTATCATGGAGATTGGCAAAAGAGCAGCTACGGATACCACAACATCCAAAGATGCTCAGGTTCTTGTATCAGTAAAAACATATAGCAGGGGCATACAACCTATCAAAATTCTCCTGCATATTACAAATACTTTCTAGATTACAGATTATACAAAATACAATATAAATACCATGTAAACAGCTGCTACATTGTGTTAAGGAGTAAAGCCTGGGAAAATAATACACATGCTCAGTAGAGATTCAGGGTGTGTGCTTATGTGTCTGCCTAGCTAAGTGCTTGGAGGTAGAACATATGGATTTAAATGCAACTGTATATGTATTTACAAACTGCTTCATTTGTATTTTGGAAGATACTTCTGAAGTAGAACCAGCCATATATCTATAAAGTAAATTAATTATGAGTATCAGTTTTCTTCTATGTTGAAATCCATACGTTTAAGCATATGAAATTGCTCAAGCTTTTTGTTTTTCACAGTGTTTTAATCTCCCACATACACATAGTGTTACATTTCTTATATAATTATTAGAGGAAAATGAAGCAAAGGTACAAATGAAGTACTAGGTTGGTGATCAGGCCCAAAAAGCAGCAGGTGTTACCAATGGTATTTCACTAAAACCTGTGTCTTGTTTGTTTGTTCTCAGGGTTTTTCGTTGCTGTTGTTATTCAAACACAAATTAATTTGCTTTTAAGAACTGAACAATTGTGTGTATGTATGTATATATGTTAATATACATGCATATATAAATACCATGTATATATATATATAAACAGACATATATATACACACACTTTTACAATTGTTTTATTACAATGCCAGTATTGTTCAAGTACTCTTTGAATTCCACAGCAGGGATTCAGGTTTAGAGGATCAATAATCTGTATTTCTATTCTTTCGAATGAAAACTGGAAAATCTTTCCATAAAGTTGAAGTGCAAGTAACCAGTAGTTGCCAACCACATACAAATGTCTTAGAACACTGTAGCACTAGACAAAAGGCCGTCCACACAATGGTTAGTGCACACGTGCGCATTAGGGGACACTGAACTCCCGGAAGCAAGCACTCTTCCTATCACAGTACAGCAGCATACAGTAATAGAACATCACGACTCTTCTCCCTTACCACTGCAGACAAATTCTCGTTTTTGAACCTCAGCTACGTTATGGCCTCTCAGGTGAGAAGGGCCCATGCACTGGGTGTACAAGCCCACTCGAGGTCTTTGGCGAAGCCAGTCAGACAGCCAGGCCAGATGGCAGTCACAATACAGGTTGTTTGAATGGAGTCGACTAAATAAGAGGAAAGAGGTTGAAAATAAGAAAACAAGACACAGTTATTTCAAAACTTTGAAAATTCAGCAATAATATATATCTGTGTTTCTTAACAAAGAGGTAGATGAAACTTAGAAAGCTCCAATCTACAACATCAAGTCATTCTTTATTTAACCCAAATACAGAAGCTTTCATGAGAACTTAAAATGCTTCTGTGTATGTTAAGTAAAAATACGAAAGGGGAGAAACCATCAGTTCAAGGCCAAGTGTTCTGCAGCTCCAGTCCACCAAAAGCGAGTGGCGACGTGGGAGCGGCACATTGCTGGAAGAGGGCTCAATCTGCGCAAAATTTTTCGGTGACTTTCCTTTTTTTTTCTGCTGAAAAGACAATGATAATTGCATACAAAACACTTTTTCACAAGCCTCTACTGCTTTTTTTCCCCTTTAGTGTTTAATCACAGAAAAGTGAAGTAGCTGGCACTTGGGGACCTATCTTCAAGGAGTAGGCTGAAATGAAAAGGCATAAATGATGGGAGTGAAGAAATTAAGCGAATCTCCTTTCCGCTGGCAGGATCCATACCCAATCATGGAGTGCGTCCAAATGGCAAATAGCACTTCTCCATTAATAAAGTACCAGCGAAATGTAACCACTAAATTAGGCAAATGACTTCAAACTGGCTTTTATGCTTTCTCAAAGTAAAGAAAAGGACACTCAAAGCTATAAATCAAAGCGTCCTTCCCAGAATCATCTATGACAATGGAATACCATTTTAGTCCTTTTTAGCTGATGTGTTCAATTTTAACCCAATAACAGTAATGGATATTAAAACACAGAACTCAGTCCAGAAAGATTATTGGACTCCAAGAATGGAATTTTAAAGTAGCAATCATACAGAGGAATAACAGACCAATGACAGCAAGGGACTTTGAAGTCGCATGATTGCTTTATATTCTCCTTGAGCCTGTGCAAAAGGAACACGGAGTCTTGAGCCAAAGCTAGAAGTCAGGCGACTAGACAAAGGGCTACATTTGAGGAAAGCTGGGTGACCTCTGCCCAGTTCCTTTGTAAGTCACGGTGGCACAGTCTACTGTGCCGTTCTCTATTTCCATCTATGTCAAGCACATTATAATAATTTAAGTAAGGAGCACAGAAGCATTAAATGGCTGAAGAATAAATTCTAAAGTTCAGATTACAAATACCAACTTGCTGATTATATAATAAAATAAGGTGCACAATGAAAATGTAGATAAATATTTTTACAATTTTATTGGCTTTATGTTTGAAAGAAACTGAACAATAGATTATTTTTTAAAATCAATGTTGATGGAAACACAATTCTGCCAAACGTACTTGGAGTGATCTAGACTGATTACTCAAGTCGGATTAACCTAAAGAAATCTAATTGTCAAGAAAATCAGATTAGTTATGTCTATTTTTATAATTCCTTTAATTTGCTATATTATATTTCAAAAGAATTATAATGTTGTGCTATGACAGAGTTACATTTTAGTGTGACAAAAATGGCATTAGGATTGGTACTGGCTAATTTGCTGATAGTGAGACAAAAAATATGTTTTCCAGTTTTACACTATTCAAAGTGAGAAACATTTGGAAATTTTCTTCTTCAAAGTGACTGATACTTTGCTTTTGATTTCATCCATTTCTTCTGCTGTGGGTAATGCATACTTTAGGTCAGGGTTAATCTGGGGCCCAGTACAAATGAGAATTTACTCTGAAAATGCTATAAAAGATTCAAAGATAATCTTCTTTCTTCAAAAAAAATAATTATTCCATACTTTATGATAGAATCATTTTACCAAAAATTCTTAGTATCCATGTATAAACTCTAAAATATATTTTAAAATATAAATGCTGACACAATCTTAATTATACAAGCCACAGAAGGTGAGGCTGTAATTTTACATTATAAAAATGTTGGAGAGCCAGTTTAGCTTTATTAGGTCTGCTTTCAGTAGACTAATAAAATCATAAAGATTTCTCATTTATCATTTTTGACAGCCAATCAAGGAATCTCCCATTTCTTAATGAAATATGACCTCCACAATAGCTCAAAGTAAATGTTTTCTTTTTTTATACTCCAAACTTCCCATAATCATTTTTTTTGTGTGTGTAAACTTAAAAACAGAGCTTTTCAGTTTACAGAGTAGCAGTTCATTTACTCAAATACATCTAGAAGTTTTTGAGAAAGTTGTACTTTCATTGTCTACACCCTAATAAGTAGGTGGCCTTGTTCCTTGTTTACAAAAAAAAAATTATGAGACAGTTATTACATTAAAGTGACCTTGGCGTACACTGTGACTACTTACAAAGTCCTAAGTTTGGGCATATGGTTGAAACTTGCCACAGAAAGTCTAGTAATGTTGTTATTGTTGAGAGTGCTGTAAGAGTAAAATAAAAGTTAGAAATTCACATATATAAATTCATTATCATTTCATATGTGGATATATAGCATTCTTTTGCCTATGATTATATAGACAGGTTTTGGTAGAAAAAGCACAGAAAATGAATAATTGCATATATGGTCAGAAATTTCATGCAACACATTACTATACATTTGCATTTTAAAGTTTTTTTGTCTTGTTTTTTTTAAAGCAAAGAGAGAGGTGGAACTCCCAACAGATAGTTCATTTCCTACATTCCCATAGTGGCAGCAGCTGTGCTGGTGCCACTGTCTTTGAGAATGCTATCCAGACTCCCACATGTGCAGCAGGAATACCATCACTTGAGCTTCCACTGCTGTTTCACCACTATCTGCACTGGCAAGCAGTTATCATCAGAAACTGGAGCTGGAAATTGAACCCAGGTGTATCATTGTTGGTCTACATTTCTTAACTGCTATGCTAATTAGTCAACCCAATAATCCAGTTTTGTCAACATTTATTACAACATTGCGACTTCAGTCAGCCAGTTTTGACTAAAGTTACATGTAACTTTATGCATGTTGTGCACACATTTATTTCTATGTTGAGGAATGAAGATACTTGGGAAAGAACTGTAGAAATCGCACAGTTGCATGTCTTTTGACAGGTATTATGTGCCATTAGTATACAGGGTGAATGAACATATTTAAATTCTCCAACTGAATTCTCACAGCAAGATTAAGAGTCATTCCTATCAGATCTCACATTACAGTATTGCTAACTACGTACAGTGTGGATATCAGCCGCTAATGAAATCTGAGTAGAAAGAACTGAGGGAGGGAGAGGGGGAGGGAACAATTTACATCAGGTACTTGGTTCAAGTTAGATGAAGTAACAAGCTGTGGCACTGTGTTAAAATCTAAAGTTTTCCTAACAGTTTTTACTAAGAACAGTGTGCATCTCCTCTGCTTAGAGATGCATGTAAGGATTACAGCGTCTTGCGGGAGAGTCAGAAATACAGATGCCAAGGAAGGTTTGCTGAAAATGTGTGTAAACCTTGCTTGCTTCAAGTTTTCATCTTCCAGAAAAAGCTCTCTCTTTTTTTCTTTTTATTACAATGAAGAATTGTTATTTTGACAGTTGAAAAGACATCATCCAAAAGGAAATTCTTTGTAAGTGAAATCTTTGTGTTAAAAAATCAGAATGTATTTCAATGCTGTTTGAAAAAAGTATTTCCATTGAGCACCAGAAAGGGCTAGAAGCTTGTAGATGACCTAAGTAAACATATTTAGTGCTTTACAGAGACCCAATTAAGCAGTTGTTTCTTCGGTGACTTAAATCACTTGGATTTATTCTCCAATCATTCAATAAATTGGAAAATTTTTGATGACCAAGAGAGTGAAGTTCTTGATTTTTAGCCAACATGTTCAACACAGCTGAGAAGGATTCAATTCCACCAGCCATGAGCACTCTATATGCTACTCCCAAGAAGTACAGTCACCTCCTCGTCTGGGATAGTTTCAAAACATACATTTTACTTAGCCTAAAATATATACTTGGCCAACAGTCTTTTAAATACTTGAATTACTTGCCATTATTTTAAAAATTAGATGGATTGATCTGAAAATTTCAATTTCTAGCTTCTTCTGGAAAAGTCACATTGTTTGGCAGCCTTGCATGATCACCAAGCAACTGGAGCTGAATATGAATGGCAACAGCACACTCTGTCACCAGCAGCCTAACCATATCCTTCCTGTGCTGGCTGTCTGCTCTCCTCCATTCCTCTTGCCATCTCCCTTAGTCACTGTACTTCACTGCATGTGGCCTGCTTCTCTCATTTTATGTTCCCATGCTGGACTCTGTAAGCAAATCATCTTGCAACGTTTTCCAGTGCAGTAACTATCTCTCCTTTCTCAGAAACCTGAGCTCTATTCACCGTCTCGATGTGTCTTCACTCTTCCTCTAGGAATCATTGCCCATTTTGACATTTTGCTCACACACACCTGCATTCTTATCACAACTAGACTCTTTTGAAGAAAAAAAAAATTCATTAATCTCTTATTGTCCATTGTCTAGACTTAATTTCACAAAAGTGTGCATGGCACACATGTTTAAATGGATTTTTGGGTATATATCTTTTTTTAAAAGCAATTCACATACAGCTAACATGCATAGATTTTACTATCTGTTTTATTACATTCCCATGCAAACGGAAGGTTTTTACTGAAGGCTGAAGCTTGTTTGTATCGACTTGAAATCTGTTCTCAAAAGATTCTACTTTATATAGTGCAGCTGAAGAAATAAATTCTTAATATTTTAATTCAGTGCCAATTCCAGCAAGATGTTATAGTTACAGACATCCAGTGACTGAAAAAAGATGTGGTACCAACAAAATTAAGCTACTTTAAAAATCAGTAGTGAATTAAGTTGCTGATTAAGTATGAAGGCAAATGCAAGCTGTGATGATGACCAATTCCTACTGAGAAATGGTGCATGTTTGTTTACATATGGTAGTTACTCGTGAACACCTTCTCTTATGCAAGTTTGTGTCTATGCTACCTTGGGCTTTTCTTTGTGAGAATGAGATCTAGTTCACTGGCCATCATGGTGTGTGAATACAAATGTTATTGTTGGTGGTCATGGCACACTGAACTATAGGCTTAGTTTGTTCCATTCCTCTAATGCCAAACAGAGAACCTGGCACAGAACCTGGTATTTAATGTATACAAGCTCTTATTTTCAAATTAAATTATATCATATAAATTTTGTAGAAAGAACAAAGATATGGAAGTGTAGAAACTCAAAGAACATATTCCATTTCTGAGTCTTACGTACAAAAACAAAGCGCTGATCCAGATTCAGCTCCAATGACACTTTCGATATTTCTTCTAATGAAGAAAGTTAATTTGAATTCACATCAACCAGAATACCCTAAGAAATCAGTTGCCTGCGAACACGCAATGATCAGCTTCCCCTTCACTCTCAGATACCCTGACTTTTCTCTCAACCTGTTGGACTACACTTAACCTTCTCACCTTATTATAAAACACACTTTAATCTCTCCAGCCTGGACCCAGGATCACCTGAACTACTTCTGATGTCTGTGGCATAGTCATATATTCACAGTTTATGGAATTAACACAGAAATATAAAACACTGGGAATCTGATTTTAGCTCTTGTTAATTAACATTCTTTCATTATTTACTGATAATAGATGCTAAAGAGTTACGAACAGCATGTAAGCAAAACAGGTAACCCTCTTTTTGCAATGCTTCTTTTTTTTTTTCCTTCTGCAAAATCATTGACCTAATGCTTTCAATAGGCAAGCTTCTGACTTGACAAGAGATCTGGATTCAAAAAATCATGGTCTTTCCCAGTGCTTTATTAAATTTTACCTTAAATCCTTATTATTTAACTTTTCCAAAGGTTGATTAAAATTGGAGCATTCTTAAAAGTAATACATGTCAAAATAATGTATGCTTGACTGATACCATTTTAGTTGGAGGTATTTATATTTTCTACAAGAAACTCAAATTTACTTGCATCATGTGTTGATGTTATATCTACATTCTTGAGCAAACAAGACTTGATCATGAGACATCTTTTGGAGATATATGTAATCCTCAGAAGATATCTCAACATTTTTGGATTTCCGCTTTGATTCCACAGACACTTGGATGTGTTTTACTTTTTGATGCTTCATGATAATGGATCTTACTAAGGTTATCTTTTAGCTCTCTTCCTAACATAACAAAATGTTTGAGGTGATTGCACTTTCACAAAGTTACTGCTTCTAAAAATGATACTGGTGCATGACCTTCAAGCCAATGTAGTTATTTTGTTTGTGAATCAAGTTTTTAGTGCACACCATTATATGTAGATGTATATAGCAAAGGGTATTGATATAGATACAGATAGATAGCAAGTACTCAAAATACATAAGGTACTTACTATATATTAAACGAATGATTCTACATCTAATAACAATTTAAGTTTTTTAACTTAATAAGAAAGTGTACAGCGAAACGGTCATAAAACCAATGACATCAGTTTTATTTCCAACTGGGAACACTGGTAACTGTAATAGCTTACCTAGGTTAACTAGCTTGTTTTAACAGTTACTTGTGGAAGTCCCTTCATACACAGAGTTTAGTGGTATCGAGTTCAGATCACTATTATACAATCATAATAGAATCTCACTTATTCTGACTTGCAATGTCATTAATGTGCTTCATATGTTAAAAGTGATTGCGGCACACAATTTAAAAGCTTATTTAAAAATATCTATGATAAGCACTCTGAACATATTTCCCATCAATAAATCAGGCTGTTCTTAACAAAAGCAAACGTAACTTCTCATTCAGAAAACACTATATAGTTTAACATTTCAAACTTATCTCAGTTAAGTCATTCATAGTATAATTCTTTAAAAAACAAATAATAGTCCAGCACATAACATATCTTGAAATTATATTCAATGAAAACCAAAATGATATCGAAAATATTGATACAGTAAGCTGTTCCATTTGAAAGATTCTTTTTTTTTTTCCTTATTTATGGTCTGCATCTGAAAGTCAATTGATAAAGCAATGAATCTTTTCCAGAAGGAGAATCTGGTGACTTTTGGATAACTGTAACAAGTGAACTAAAAATTCCAAGTCTCTTTCAAATGAATCCGTTTTGGATCTTGGATCAAATCACATCACGGATGAAATGAAGCATAGGAAAATATTTTTATTTGAGGATGAAATCTGTAAATATCTTTAAGAAGCTAAAAGCATGACCCTTTGAAAAAACTACATAAATGTATGGGAAGCATAAAATCTTTTAATACCTATGGCTTTCACTAAAATTATGTTATTAAAATTAATTATGCCGTCAAAATTACTAAACCAAAGGTTAGCAGAGATGACTTGGTTGCCTCTAACTAATTCTGTCAGCTGTGTCCACCAAGCTGGAGCAGGGAGGGGATGCGTGTACAATTCAAGTCTGCATGTTGTGCATTACAAAGTCAGTAATGAACACTTTAATTGGATCTTATTAAACTTATGACAGAAATCTCCAACAAACCTTCCAAGGAAGTTACCTGCTTAAACACTACATTTTAAACTCTTGTCATTGCATAACAACTATAAACTACAGCAACATATCAGATTCTAAGGAGTTTATTTTTTATATTCTTTGCCCTACAACCTTGATTTATCTTAATATTTAGCAATTCTGAGAATTCTCACAACTCTTGTGATTCCTATCAGAATACTTTAAGGAGAACATTTCGGTGTGTTTTTTTTTGACACAATTCAGCTTAGCATCTACAGATACGATACGTTTTGGTTTTGTACAGACATATTCCCAGGTCTTCTCTGGATTCCCTCTGAGTAATTTAAGGTTTCTGCTCAGGAGACCATATGGACACACGGCTTTAAGCACGCAGGTAAGACCCTCCCTGAGTACTCCCCAGATACAAACTCAGGTTTAAAGAGGGAGAAAAAGCAGTACTTACAGCACTTCCAGGTCGCGGAGAGCCCTAAATGCCCCATCTTCAATGCAGCTGATCTGGTTGTAATCCAGCTGCCTGATAAAGAGACCAGAAAAAGAGATGTCAAAAGGATGAGCAGCAGCCGGCGTGGGGGCCAGGAAGTCGCCGGGAGTCTGTGGAGCCCGGGCCACTGGCTGCGAGATGCTCTCACAAGCACCCGCATCTGCTTCAGAATGTCACAAGCCTCTCTGGTCTCTCTGGGCAGCCACTGAAATCTCTTTTTGTTCTGAACTGTCTGTGCAAATAGCAGCCCTTGGAAAGCTCCAGTAAATAATAACTGTACCTTATATTAAATGCCATAGGAATGCAATTTCATTACATCAAGAAAAGCTATCCATTAAGAGCTTTCAGCGTCATCTTGCTGAAACAATTTCATTAAGGTAAAGGACTGTAAATCACTTAATGTCACATGCACCCCCTCAGTGACCTAACAGAATCCATTTATCAGAGAAGCCCAGCTGCATGTTAATTTCACTATCCATGGCAAAAAAAAAAAAGAGAAAAGACCGAGACTACTTTGAGGTTTTCTTCTTTTAAAAGCAGTTTTACTTCACTTCAGATCAAGCAAGAGAACGGCCTGCCCAGTACCTCCATCCAGGAACAGCCTTTAGCAAGCTCTCTCTGGATCTCTGTTATTTTTCACTATTCCCCTGATTTGAAATTTTTATCTCGATTGGCAATTTTCAACTTCTCTACACTATAAAAACAGCACACTTTGGAATGAAGGAACTTCCAGAATTGTAACAGAAGATAAGTGGAATTGTAACAATAAAAGAATTGATGCTTTTCTGCAAGAAGTATATTTCACACTAAAACACTCCTAAGGCTATGCCACAGGTGAATCTTTAAAACACTTCCATTTATAACAGTAGTATCAACAGTGGTGTAAGCTGTTATGTGTTAAAATTCCAAATATGAAACAAAATAATGCTCTGATATAGGGTTTCTTTTTCCTGTTCGTTAACAAATTTAAAATTGTCTCCATTCATGTTGAAAAATCTACTGGATTCCCCACACTATTTTTTTATTCCAAACAAGCAGTTGCTTATATCTTGTAGCTTGATGCTCAGAAATATTATTATTCCAGGAAAGAAAAGTGTATTTCAGTGCTCCACTTGAGACAGAAACGAAACGTTTCGTGAAACAGTCAGGTGAATTGTCGGTTCCACCTGCGGGGGTGAGGGAACACAGTTGCACAGGAGTGAGGTTATCATCATAATACAAATGAATCTTGTCCTTGGTTCGAGTTCAGCATTCACCAACAGGACTAATTCACATCTGAGGTCTGTTCTTGGGGAACCACTTAAACATTTCCATAAAACAGCAGTTTCTCCCACAAGGCGACCTAACAGAAGCACAACTGGATTTAATCCAGTGACTATCAGGAGGGCCTCTTCAAATCCTTTACTTTAAAAATTATGTTCATAGAGAACATCTCATGAAATATACATTTCATTTTTAAGAAAGTCTCCAGGGGACACAATCATACATGAGGCTACCTTGGTGCCATGCAAATGGCACCATCTAGGACATGCAATATATTTGTTTAAAGCTGCACCCTAGAGAAGACACAATATTATGGCTCTTATAAGCTAAGGCTTTCCCCAAATATTAGCTGTCATAGATGTGACTGTAATAGCTTAAAGCATTCTACTTGTCAGGAAGTCATAGAGACATATAATTTTATTTTCTAAGAAGACATTTAAAGCCTTATGATGTAATACTGCTGCTGTGGTTCCAAGAAAACACTTACACTCTTGAGCACTTTTGATTTTTACAGATTAAATTCATTTAACAATTAAGTTAATAGGCTTTTTATTTTAAAGTGCTAAATGTATATCTACACTACTATTCTCTAACCTCTTGAACAATTTATCAAAGCCATTTAAATTAGTACAATGGCATGAAGTGTTACCCCTGACACACTACAAAAGAGAAATTGTTTTGAGACAAATTGGCAAAATCTTTTAATGCTAGCAAATTTGCCTAATGCAGTCCCCAGGTTAATCTGTAAAAGGGTGAGCTGTATGTTTGCCCGTATCTTATTCTCCCTAGCTGTCAATGTATAAATCAGTGCTGACACAGCTTCTTCTAAATCATGCACACAATACACACAGGGGAAGCACCGGCTCACCAGAAAGCACTCAAGCAAATCTTGTCCTACGAGGAATGAAAGGCAGACCGCCCTCCTCCCCCAGAGGAAGTTGAGACGCTGCTGGAAACTTTGCTAATTTCACCCCTCTTTAACATCCCTCATGACTACATGCTGCTTCCGGGTTTTAATGGGAAACTTCTTGATAGGTGCTCAAAATCCTAAGAATATCTGACTTTTGGAGTACTGAAGCTTCTCTTACAACTTTGCTGGATACCATCATCCTATTCCAGTTCATCTATCTTCTGAGGATGAAGTTATTTGTTTAAAAAGTTGCCCTGTGAAAGGACAAAGTACAATGCACATTTTTTTTTTCACAGTTTGTGGATTCAAAGGAATGTTTACGAAAGCATTGTGCCTGCATGATCGCTCAGGAGAACACTTTTGCACACAGACCTCCATTTGTCTGCATATGGTTCAAGATAAACAGTGTCAAAACCATGCAAAAGCATAATTCATTTCAGGGTTTCGGGACTGTTTTCCTACGTCTTGTTTCTCTCACGCTGCACCCTTGCTCCTCTACTACCTTTCAAGTTTGCAGTACTTCTGATTTCTGTAAACAGGAAAGGCTCTGTTCTCAGCCATGCGTTTAGTGACAGGCTGACCTGTTTCATATGTGGTGGCTAAATGACCCAAGAAATTATTGCAAATTAAGGAAACTGCAGGAGGAGTTTTCCTTTCACTTCTCCAAAAATTAGGAATCTGTTGATCTTTGGACAGCTTAAGATGGTTAGGGCATTCAGTGGGATCTCACGCACACCTTTCGGAGGCCTTCCTGGGTAGGCGCTGGTCCGCAGGGCTCCTCAAGCTAGGTCTTTGTTTCAAGCAAGCCAGAGTAACAGGAGTGGATTCTCTTAGTTCTTCAGCTAATCTACTCCATGGAAGCTTACTGAGACTTCTCCCTTCCTTGCTGTCTCAGGCCCACCCCTTTACTTTTGATTTGCAACTGTCTCTCTACCTCATCTTTCACTGGGTTTGCAAATTCACATTTTGAAGCATAGCCTTAAACTAATGAAAATTGTCCTAATCTTTCTCAGTATTAGAATCCCAGGATCCACTTGGTGGTTGCATGAGAAGCATCCTCTGAGGGTCTGGAGTAACCATGAGTCACTCACGTTGACTTGTGCCAGTAGTGCCAAGTCCAGTTGTCAGCAATGTGGTAGGTCAACGGAACTCCTGCAAACTAGTACCATTCCGTGCCTCACTTGTACAAAATCTCTGAATTCTGACAACCACTAAAAATATTTAGCCTAATTTTAGCCTACTCTGTCTGTGGGAAGCTGTCACTATGTGTCTATATACATATATATAAGAAATATATATATATTTCTAAATATATTAGACATAAATATATATTAGAAATATATATATATTTCTAAATATATTAGACATAAATATATATTAGAAATATATAGAAACATATATTAGAAACATACACATATTTCTAAAAATGAAGATTTGAAATAAGAAAAATGTTACACATTTGCTTACTGTGTACACTGACCTGTCTTGGGAGAGATTACATTTTCCTCCACTGAAACTTTGAAGGGATTTTCTGTTTGCATTTTTTAAAATGTAGATACAATAGTGTGTTAGACTGTAGCACTGAGTACCAAGATAATCTCAAATTCCATTTTTTTTCCCGGATTTTGATTATCTTGCGTTACTTCATGAAGAAGGATTTTATCCAAATGCAGACTTAAAAATATCTAAACAAGGCAGGGTCATACAATTTTTCAAAAAAAAATTTATGACAGTGTCATAGCTGTGCTAGGTATAGACACTTAAAATAGTTTAGCTCTTATTTACATTACTGACTTGGAATTTATATATAACTCCAATAATCTAACTTAAAAGGTATTTGAACAAAAAAATACAGGATAACATAGGTAGGATTCATTTAATTGTGACAAATATACTAATTATGAAATGTTAACAGAAGAAATAAAATGAGGAGTATTTGAAAAAGTTTTCATTAATTATCAAAGCAATACAAAAATTCTTAGTTTTTCTAAAGTTAGATACAATTTTGAAGAGCAAAAATTGGATATGAAATGATAAAACACAGAAAAATTATGAAAATGAGAAATTAAGAACATATCCGAAAGAAGCCTCTTCAAACATTTACGTTATATGGAAGATAAAAGAGAAAGCTGAATTAAAGTATTTGGCCACAGTTTTCTATTTATCTCATGTGTATTAAGTTCAAGCAATATGAGTGGTTAAATATACAAATTTTATGTTGATTAGTGATTTTAAAAAATAATCTCTGGTTTAAATGGAATATATAGATGGTATAAGAATAATGCGATTGATGCGTATAAATGAGCGCCCTAAACAGAGATCCCAGCGCTCAAAGCGTTGAACTCAGCATCAAAGTACATCAGCATTCACCTGCACAACGAAGACAAAAATCAAGATATGGATTATCTGAAGGACCTCAAAACAATTTACAGTACTTGAAAAGTTAATGCTCTTGTAATATTTCCGGCAGCATATTGTTTTTCTCGTAGGAGTACGCACTTCCTTACTGGAACAGCCTGTGGTATAGTGACATCCATTTACCAATGTACTGCAGTAAAGAAAAAGAGAGGCGAGCAATCACAGCAGTTCCTTCTAACAGGAATTAAAACAAAGACAGCTGAAATGGCGTTCGGATTGTGCGAGTGATGAGCAAATTCCTCCAAGGTGTGACAGCAGTAATTTCTGACACTCTTGTGGTAGGGTCTGGGTAGGCCCCGTTTCATTATTGTTCAGAGTAACATGCAAAGATAAACACTGCTATGATCATGATTTTACAGGTGAGACAATAAGCTCTACAGACATTTGATAAGCTATACATGGTACGCACCAGGCATTCCTTTGAGCTTTGATTGGAATTTAG